CATTGTAAAATAAATTTACAATAGCAGGAAAAAATCAAGAAAATTGCTCGAATGTAAACGACTGAAAAACCTGTTTGCAGCAGTATTGCTAATGGAATAATGTTAATCGGTGTATTCTATGTGATAAGTCCAGTCGAGTATATTTTTATGACTGCAGGCTACCAGGCGATTATTTAGCTTAAGACCATCCATTCATTTTGCCACGTTGTTAAGAGTTTTAAAAAAGTATTGCAAATGATTTCTCAAAATAATTTAATCATTTGGACCTTGACAATTTCAGTCTCTCCTGTACTTTTTACAGCTACTAGTTTATTATTCGCCATAGCTACTCTTGGAAGCAACCGAAAAGGGGATCAATACTTGAATCGGGATTCAATGAGTACAGAATGTTAATGCCGCCGAGAAGGCTCTGCAATAGTTTGATAGCACACGGTCTCCTTCGTCATACCTCCCTTTATTCTGCTCACAGTCTTTATTGTTATCCCAAAGGGCTTGAAAGCAAAGCGTAAATGAAAAGGTGTATCAAACGGTTATGGGGATCATTACTTAAAGGCACGGTATTTCCATCCGAAAGGTGATAGAGAAGCTGATATACCGAGGACTTGCTCATCTGAGACAGTCGCTTTGGATTATACGTGTATCAATACAAAACAAACTAGTTTTAGTGAGCAACAACGAATTACAGTAATGCTCATCACTATTGTCGTTGCCTTCTATTGGGAATCCATGATTCCCCAAGATTGGTTTCTGATTCTATTTACATTAATTTATTAACATTTGCTTTGTTACGCATTTATCAAGTCAAGGTCAACCCTGACTTGAATTAGTTTCGTTTTCACTTTCGATTTCCATTCTTCTCGACACGTGGCTGACGTGAATAAGGCTCTCTACACGAGCTCTGGTCTTGTTCTTGTATTAGCCTGGGAAGGTCGGTTCTAGCTTCAGCACGGGATATGGTACCGTTATTTGAGTGGTATTCTCTATTGTTACGGGCTAACGTAACACCTTCATGATCTTACAAATCCCAAGTACCATTGTCAACATCATGACTGACATATTCACTTCAGAAGAGACAGCTAAGGACCAAAATTTTTATACTCACTCACAATTGTATTTTCAAACATTTCTAATGTGCTACTCTGTATCAACGCAACAACGAATTTCACTTTCGTAACGAAATTTTGAACAACTTGTGAACTCGTTCAACAAAACACTGCCCTACACTCAACAAGATAATGCGCAGTAGAAATAGAAAAAGTAACTCAACAAGCGCAAACCTAGAAGTGAATGACTTAGCATCAACATGTAACCAGAGCACGCATGCAGTCTCCTGCAGTGCAGCTTTAGAAGGTTCGAAGAGAGACCGAATTCGTCAATTAAGAGTCGTTTTGGTTTGATTTTCTTTCTAAATTTGTTCAGTAAAACAAAATCACTTTTTGTACTTGCAACACCGAGATGTTGACATTTTCCTCTATGCAGCACTTTTACATGGTTTAAATGATATACATATTTGAGCAATATTGTACTTTTAACCAAAAAATCAAGTGGACTAATTTCAATTTGTAAGTGTTGTTGAGAGAGCTAGAGAAATCGGCACTTGGTGATGCCGTGGATATAGTTTCGTTTGCCTTGATAACTTACCTAAAATTTCCACAAAGAGTGGTCTAATGGAGCAGAATTTTATTGTGTTTGCAATTGCAACATAATTCTCAAAAAAGCACTGGTTTAAGCTCCAAGTGAGTTACACAACAATGTTCTTTCACTGCAAGAATTCAATCTGGTAATAAAACGCTGACAGAAACTCAAGTACAATCTGCATCGCATTCTACACACAACCAAGATTCATGGATTTCAGAATAACAATTTGCAAATCTATATAAAGTTTTCAGGGTTGTTTAATTCAACTAAAATTAGAAAATTCAAAATTTACGAGCTGATTACTTTGATCTCAGTTTTGCAAATACAATTTTGATCAAATTTAATATGAAAACAGCTTTCGTTTTAATGCACAAAACGAGGTGTGTAAAAATATTTCAGAGGAAAAGCATTTGTAATATTACCAGTGTTTTAGCATAGACAAGTAACCGTTGCACTCGATCTAAAATACTCGAAAATGGTTAGTTTGAATTTACCGCCATTCGTTTTTATGCAATTAATAATGACAAATTCATAAAAAACTTAATGTATTGGAAGAAATTTGGAAATCCTAATTTTCCTAATTTGCATAATTTTTAAAAAGCCCTCAGGAATGGGAAATCCAGAGTTTGCAGTTCATCGTTTTTAACTAAAACTACGCGCTTTCTATAAGTCGTAATTCAAGAAAGAGCATTGTTTCTGTTCAAAAATCGATATACGTAAATCGTAAAGTACCCATCAGTGCATTCTCGACACTGCCAAACCGTATACATCTTTGCCCTCTTTAAAGATAAAATGCACTGCCTTAATTTACACCACTTTGTAGATCAGGGTACTCGTTATGAACAACCACCTCGCTTTAGTGAGCGTGTATAATGGCCCGACTGCACCAATGACTCACCCTGTTTATTATTGACCCCTGTTAGCATGCGCACCCCGAGACACTTGGATGGCCTTACGCCGATAAATGGTTCGGTTCACTGTTGCCTCTCCTCTCTTTTCTAACGGGTGTTAATGGGTTCTTAAATGGATGGTTGTAAGGTAGTGCTAACTAAGATACTGCATGCCTTCTTCTTCTTTCTTCTTCTTCTTCTTCTTCTTCTTCTTCTTCTTCTTCTTCGAATCCTAGTACATCTTCGGACACTTGGAAATTTAACTTCCCTCATTATCACCAGACTGCAGCAAGCAACAGACAAGAATGGTGCATGTCCGATTGATAAATGCTAGCGCCTACAAAAATCGAACCACATTTTGTCGAAGTCAGCATATCTGATATCAAAGGGAACACGTGTAATATAAATAGAGACATTCGGCAAATTTAAGTTGCAATTGATCGTTTTTTTCCCTGAAATCCTCAATAATCTGTCCTACTCCACAGCTTCACATTACTGAAGAAGCCTGTTCATGTACTTTGTTGATATCAAATTACACTTTTTTTGTTGATGGACAGCAAATGTTGATTAATATTGATTTTCAAGTTAACTGCCTCTTTGACTATGGGTCAGTACAATTTGCGCAGGTTAATTCATTAATATAGCCGTGAAACCTATGAGTTTGATCGGCGCTAAGGACTTTAACAATAAAAAAATACTTGGCATTTTATCAAGAAAAACTTCAATCTCACAAAACTTGGGCTATGCTAGAGTAACGTTTAGTGCTTACCCAGAACAATGGCATCGAAACAATTTTTTTGGTAAATGGATTGCTCTACAAATTAGCTAAACATTTTTTACATCTGTGGAAGCTTCCCATATATGCCATGGTAAATCCTGCATTTTAATTATTTCCACGACGGCGTCCATGCATGCATTTGGAAATAACATTGCCTCGAGGAAAACGAAGATTTTTTTAAAGGTGGAACCTATTCGAACAATGAAACCTCAATCACCAAGCACCAGAAAAAATGCGCTTTTTAAGTGGACATTTCTACTATTGGAAACCCATCCCCCAGCTACAACAATTTAAAAAATATTTTTGGCATTTGGGAAATGGTGGCTCAGTGGGTTCAGGCAAATTGAATAATTCCGAAAATTCTGATACGCCAAAATTATGTAGTTACACAGCACACTATTAAGAATGATTTATCAATTTTTAAAAGTGTTGGGATCCAGGATTCCCCAAGATGGCTCATCACCTGTTGTCGTCATTGTTTACGCTAATCCACTAGCCATGCCAAGTCAGCGGATGAGTCACCAACGGCACCCGACTGACAACCTCATCTTTGCTAATCCGCTCTCATCCACCAGGTCAAAGTTATCTCGACTTATATAAGTGTTGATATTCTGACCGATCACTCGGCCTTTGGCTGAGACGATAAAAGACCTCCGAACGAGGTCCTGTCTTGCAGTAGTCTGGGAAGATCGGTTCAAGCGTTGGACAAGTGATTCGGTACCGGTTATCTGAGTGGGTTACGGACAATTGTAACACAAATTTTTGTCAAATTGTGCAATATGAAACCAACAACGGTACCTCATTAGCGTTCAGGTTCCTAGTGTGATATCCTCCCAGATTTCGCGCTTGGGCAACCAAGATTAACGTCCGGGCTAACAGACGAAAATAGGTGCTAAGTTCATTGACCACGAACTCTGACAAATACTCGCGAACAAAACCATTAGCCCCATGAAAACCTAACTGCAGCCAATCCAAGCAAGCAATGGTATTTCGCGTGCTTGCCACGTAACGTGGACCAAGCCAGTAAGAGCGCCACTATTTGCGCTGTTTTCCCCGAATGCTTTGATAAAACCAATTTTTAACTCGATCAACGTCCCAAGACATTAACCTCCACTAAACTTGACCAATCACAACAGTTAAGTAGTCTTGGTCCAACTTGCAGTGCACCGAACACTCATATGACCAACCCAATTAGGAGACGGCTGAAACTACCTTAGTCTTGCTGTGGCCCCAACAGAGTTACCCATGATAAGAATCAGGCTCGTGGCCTGTTCTGTGTGATGTAATACCCACCACCATGCTCGCAAGACAACCTGGCCACACCAATCAGGGCAGTTTAAACGAAACCAAGGTCTGAAAAAATCCGACCCAAGGTTAAATTTAAAACAACCCACAAAAATGCCAATATCGAGACCTTCAAAAGATCCATAATTGGATGCTTCAGCTTACCGCTGGTTTCTGTATTCACATAATCAGTTGAAAGCCAGAAATATTTTTGATAAGCCCATGATACAAGCAACACAAAATACCAACTTAGAAATTGAAATCCGCCGGTTACTCTTCACTTATTGCACAATATCAGCTAGACAATGAAGACAATGCCCTCGAGGCCTAAAAATAACTTAAAAGTCAACGTTATTTCTCGATTGGTATCCATTTAATAAATATCGTTATTGAAAAAAAAATACGGAGAATCACTGGGTGGGAATGGATGGCGAGGCGGTTTGTGCTAGCCACCGAAGATGGCGCATGTACAGCATTCTTGACCAGGGTTGAGAAAACTCTGAAGGTACAGCAAAAAGCCCAGTCGCCCTAAGCTCTGTATCCGATAGATTGCAGAGACAGGGATCGGGCGGTATAGCCGATGCGATGGGGTCGAATCTGCAGAGGTCCACAAAACTACTGCCCAAATCTCGGTAGATGTCGAATACTTGACGTCTACAAAGTACATTGATAGAAATGAGCAAATGCAACAAACAAACTAACGCCCACCGAGTCAAATCGCACTAAAGTTACCTATAAGACCAAAGAGCATCGTTTTCAGGGGTTTTCAAGATGGCAGATTGAATGCGCTCACTCTCTTTGAAAAGAGATAGCTTAAGGGAATCGGGATTCTTCTCCTCGTCTGAACTGCTTAACCACATTCGAAACAAGTGGGCTCGAAAACACCATCCGCTGACATCCACTGGATGAGATCGGTTCCAATCGTCCATCCGCTTCAACTCCGATTGGACATTCTGAAAGATAACACCACATTGATCACTTTTTTACGTGCTTATCACAAACCAACACACTGACGCTATAGGAACCTCAGTTCCCACAACTTATGGCAGAAGTTATTCCAGGTGAATTTTAACCTTTTTAAAAGAGCCTTTACAGAAGTCTACGCTTGGAAACTGCTTTGGTTACGTCAAAGAAGCAAAACCTCATTCTGACAGCTGATGCTCACAAAAGGATTTCTGGGAGAATAAAGTTGGCTTAGGAAGTTTGTGTGCATAGGCCTTGATTACTTTGCAAGCCATTTCACAAACGGATTTAGTTTAAATTGAATTGAACTATTAATGTACGAAGGACATGTTTAAGTGCATGTGAGACCAAGGTAGGCCGTAAAGTCCCGAGAAAGCATGTTATTGACAGCGCCCTGAAAAAACGGCATGGGATTTTGTGCCCAGGAGAATTACCAGCACTGTTCAGGCACTATCAGAGTGGACCTTCGTACTTCTCAGAAAAGGTAAATGAGGTGCTATTCGCAAAACCCCGAGCTGGTGGCAGTGCCACAACAGAACAAAAAGTGTGGTGCATTAAACCTGGCAGAAAGTCATTTTAGAAGCATGCGAAGGGCTTTCATTGGGAGACTACACATAGAAATTAATCAAGTCAATGTGAATTGAAAAGCACAGGAAATGGTTGGGAATTAACACATCAATGTCTGAGGAGAACCTAACCATACATCGAGGCCCAATCACCGAACCTGTCACCGTTCACCAATTTGCAAAAGAGGAATCGAGATTAGCGGCAGAAAGAAAAAACAATGTCAAACCTCTATGGAAGCACCTTGTCGCAGAAGCAGCCAACGGCGGTGTTGCCAAACCATGTAGTTGCACCTGTGTTTGTCACATAGGCGTTCACAGAGGTCAATTTCTTCCCCCACTACACCCTCGAGCTCTGAGGACGATAATTTCTCCAATACCCAATGTCTAAGAGGCAGAGCGAAATAAAAGGTTATTTAAGAACTTCAAATCAAGTGAACCAAATATCAGGGGGAGGATGTGTATCCATTCATCAAATGACCAAAGTGTGTCAGCAACAGCAAAGTCAGAATGCAGTATTGCGGGTTGAAATCATGCATTTTAAATCATAACACCGATGTCCAATGGACAAATTCAAGGAAGCAATTTTTCTACTACTTAAACTGTAAAAACAGAATCGTTACTTCTGCCCTTTGGGCCACCCGAAAAAGGATACACTAGCTAGCACAAATAATAACAGATCTTCATACCTGTGTTGAAGAGGTTCTGTTGCTCTGGGAAATCGTATCAACACCAATCGCGTGAAAGCTAGCTCTTCCTTTAAGGACAAGCGATCGAGTTGGACCAACTCCTTTCTACGGTGCCAAAATGTGGCACAAGAAGGTACAAAAAGGAGGAGAATAGTAAGATGTTCTAAAAGGGTAGAGAAAATTCTGTCGACATGGCCGATTTCATTCCTTAAGGCGAATACTGAAGAAAACAGGAACATATAGGAATAAGTACGTAGTATTTTCAACGATTTTATAACGAAATACAGACTCGACTTATCACGATTGAGTTTGAGGGGTTTTCACACGAACAATTGAAGGAATAAGAATGCAAGAGAACAGGCAACATTACATACACAATTTACAATTACCGTTTGAAAACAATGTTCGCGTCAACTTAGGAATTTTTCATTTAATGATTTGCGGTTAGTTTACGAGCTAAATTCGCCGTGCGTCATCAGAACTGTCATTTTTCGGGTCCGTTTTTTTAAATTGTCGCTTTTAGGAAGTGTTTTTCAGTCAAACCGCCATGGAAACAACGTACCTACTGAAAGAGAACCTTCCTGACTGAAAACGCTTCGGTAGATCGGATACCAAAGGCGTTCACCAGCGAGACACGAACAGAGCCCAAACGTCTCCTCAATTTCCAGCAACTCCTCGTGGTTTTCGGTGTCGACGTGAGGGATAATATCAAACTCAGTCCTATTAGTGAATTACAAAAGAATGCGAGGAAAATGTGGAAATTTCACTAGGACAACCGACATAAAAAGTCACTAGCTTTGGTACACAAATAATACGACTTGGTGTGAACACCACGGTGTTCAGGGTATGTGTAGAATGAACTGAGAGAGTGATCCCGTAAATAAAAAATAGTGTCCTACTCCAGCAAATATGTAGAGAACGTGCAACTAACTGGGTGTCAAATCATAGTGAATGAGTTTCAAATGACATTCAAAATGCAACTGAACAAACCTTGCCCAAGAACGTACTTCGTTTGTGTGAGTTTGTAAATACGAGAAACTAGTTGGTGGTTAAATTCCACCATTCGACCGAGTAAAAGTCAGAATTAGACGTCAGTCCACGACAGGTAATGCTCCAAGGATTCCTGCAGGGATTTAAAACACGAGGTGAAATCTTGGTTTATGTGAGGGGAAAAATGCTAAAAAGTTTGCAGTAAAAAGTTATAGTGCGATATAGCTGAAAAGCGTTCCATTTAAACTTTGGATCCCCTTTTTATAAAAAAAAGGAAACATGACGAGGAATTAAAAGTAAGTGTCAGGCCCTAACAAAGATTAGCAGGCTCCCCTCTGCATATTGCAGAACATAGCAAGAAAACCGAAAGGGATTCCGAGAGGATAAGTATCCTGGCTGGTTAGTTAAAATGAAAACGCAAATCGAAAAACTGCCACTCCGAGTGTTAAAGCAAATTATTAATCGGTTATGCATTGGACACTGGCGCGTAGACAATGCCACCAACAAAATGTGGTGTGAAAACTTCATTAAGGGGGTTGAAAACGCCGAATGGTAGTTAAGCAGCAGAAGCAAGCTCATGTTAAACTGTTACACGTTATGTTCAAACATATTAAGTGAAGTGACCAAAGAATAACAAAACTTGAATGCCCATGGTACCACCTTTGCAATACAGGGGGAAACAGTCACAGGGTCCCAAAAAATGTCGCGACCATCGACGTGAAACACCCATGTAAAAATTTAGAGTCCAATGCTGGTCTCTAGTGTGACTGTGGTGCGGCGTCGGATCAGGGCGCAGACATATTATACCACCTGGCCGCAGCCAATCCTGTCTCTGCGTTCCAATGCGAGAAAGATAAGCAGCCAACCAGAGAAGAACACGACTGAGGTGCAGTATATAATGAGCGGCGTGGCCAGCGTGGCGCACTCGGGTGGAAGGCGTCTGACGTGTGGCTCTGGCTTCTGATTGGTCAATAAAGCCTGTTCTGTTGTACCGGGATTTTCCTATTACGGCTCGGGTATTCTACAGTGGCGACGGATCAGGGCGCAGACATATTGGAGCACCTGGCCTCAGCCAATCCTGTGCCTCCTTGTGTTCCAATGGCATGCGAGGAAGATAGGCGACTGCGGAGCAGTATATAATGAGCGGCGTGGCCAGAGTGGTGGACTTGGATGGACATCGCCTGACATATGGTTCTAGCTTGCGATTGGTCAATAAAGCCTATTCAGTTGTACCCGTCTTCTTCCTATTAGGGCTTGGGTATTCTGCATTGGTGGCAGCTAAAGCGTTCTAATAACCTCAAGTCGAACCCAATCCCTTTCTCTACAGTGGATAACGCAGGCAAAGACCCTTAAATGCCACCTGAAGATCATTGCGGTCATCCGATATCCCATTCATTGGATCCATTGACATTGCCCGGGATTAGGACTTCTGCATCTGAAGAGGCATTGGCAACTCAGTGACGACGACAATGACAGTAGAAGCCAGATGGACTGCAACAGCGAATGGACCTACGATGGATGAAGAGTCCTTCCTGCAAGTCTACAAGAGCAAACCCCCTCGTCAACTATTCGCTTGGGCCACTATCCTGCCAGATGTGGGGTGCGGGGAGTGTCGCACTGGATATTTTATAAATCATGAACAGTACGGAGAACCAAGCCAGAAGCTGAGGACAGCTTCACTGCTGAGGGGGAGGCAGCGTATTGACGTATTAGGGCACAGACAAATTGGACCACGCTGGCCTTAGACAATCCTGTGTCTCTCTGCGCTCCAATGGTATGCAAGGATGATAGGCAGCCAAGCAGAGAAAGATACGAATGAGGAGCGATATATTATGAGCGGTGTAGGCACCGTGGTGGACTCGGATGTACGGCACTTTACGTATGGCTCTGGCTTGTAGGTGGTCAATCAACTCGGTATTGTTGTGTCAGTATTCTCATGCCCTTGGTTTCGGGTATTCCTAAGAAAATATTTCTCACCTAAAAACGAGCCAGGCGTATCGCCCACAAATTACATCGGGAGCGCACATAAAACAATAATGACAGGTTTTGCATGCTCTAATCCTGCACTAATGCTCATGTAAAATCAAAGTAATTGCTAATATGACGAATACTAGGTATGATGAAAATATGCAAAAATTGGACCAACTTTGTTTGAAGGCAAACTATGTTGCTGAGGACGGCGATTTGTCTCCCTGTTGTGTTATTTAGGTATGCAGAGGTCCTGAACACCATTACGTCTCTCCGATAGTGATCACAGCTCAAAACAAGGAAATAAAATTAATCGTAGCGATAAGAACATTTACTATTCACAGATAACTGTACTGGAATGTGATCCGAATTCCTTTTAATCAGGATCTGACCGTTGAGGGTATTGAAGCAAGCAAAGCTGGTTCGAAGTCTCTGCCTGACGGAGATATCGAATGCGAATCTAGAAATGTGATTAGTCCATTACCAAAGCAATGTTTAAGAAGATATTACCCTTTGGTTATTACAACCATCGTCGAACAAAGGCAATAAGTGAAAGATTTTAGTCAACATAACCGACTCTCAGAGTTGAAAAAATTCTTCCAATCACTCCTAAAACACAAGTCAGCTGGTGCTGGAAGACAGTCACAAACCACTAATAGAAAGTGAGGTTTATGGGGATGAAAGCCGATTGTAAAACACCCAAAACATGCAATTTTATAAAGAAACAGGATAAGGTATCAAAGATGCTTTTGATTTTTCCCATTTTCAAAATAAGCAGGAGATTTAATGGCTATTCATAAGAACAAAACTTCGGGAAAGGATATCAATGACTTCTAACAAAGCACCTGGCACTTCGATTTTCAGCCATTTTGTCAAACAAATGCGACCACTAGACAAATTATTGAAAAAGATTTGCAGAAAAGTCCTCAAAATTTTGAGCGCAAAACAAATACTTTAAAGAAAAAAATTGTTTCCAGCACAAATAATATATAAGCAAAGTTGTGCTACTAAATTTGTCTAACAGTGCAAAAAAGGAAAAAATGTTATCGAACATATTGTATTCAATAGGCATTTTTGTGTGTTCTATCAAAATCAGTTTCTGAACACTAGATTCAGCAACAAACAAGTGGAGTAACCTTCTTACATAACTTTCAAGCAGGGAAGTTTTGTTTATCTTTAAGTTCCAATAATGGTTTAAGATGTCTTTATATCCTCGGTCAAGTGAAAACGCGATACAAGGGTTTACATGGAGAAGTTCATTATTAGCTAAGGAGGGCCTTTTGATTATTCCGCGCGCGTTACTTATATGCGTGTTCCAAGAGGTTTTGATGTCTTCGCTGCCTCCTTGTTTGAGGCTCTGTTGCCGAAATCGCCAAATTTCCTTTCAAACGTTGAGTTTCGTTTTTAACTGTTAAAATTCTTCACGTTTTTACTAATCGCGTACTTTAACTCATCCTAATAAAGTCCATTTATTGCTGATTTGCGCTAATAAAATTATTCCTGTGGGCGCCCCAAGGCAGAGTTGGGATTTTTTCCTTTAATCAAAAATCTGCCTCATCTTAGGTAAAAGTTTTAATTGCGTTAACTGATAAGTTTGCAACATGCCATGTTTTCATTTCTGATTTTACCAAAAATATCACCAGAAGTCTTCGTTGCATACTTTTTTCGCATACCGGTATTCACTTTTACATATTTGTGGTTTTATGGGAAGTGGTGCACCTTTTTTCCCTTATAGTTGCCAATTCGGCATTTTTATCTTCACACTCGCCATCTATGCGTGCTTCCATATATCAAGGAAGCCAATTAGTGTGGTGAAACCGGTTCTTCATCCTAACTGCAGTGAGATTGCTCAAAGGAACAACCAAAGTATCACTCCTCAAAATGCCACATTTTGTATGTGGAAACCCTTTGATTCAGACAACTACAACACTCTGTTTGGCTACCTGGATCTGTCATATCTTCTATCGTACGCCATAGGAATGTTCTTAAGGTAGTGTCTAACCTGTTTTTCTGTTTTTTTCTTCCGTGTGCTTGTGAAGTGTCATTTGATTAGTAATTTTCCAACATTTTATTTTCGGTCTTCGAGACATAAAGGAGTGTAAATTGAACTCCATATTAAATAAGGAAAGGTCGAGTCATTGTGCATTGTGATGATTAGAGGAATTACCGTTACCAGTAAAAATAAACTTTTGTCGACTGTGGGATCTTTTTGGTCACAATAAAATGCAGTTTAAATAACACGCGATAGGCGAATCTCCAGACTTACTGGTCGAAAACAATAACATTTCATACTCTATTTATGCTTAATTCACGGTTTTTCTAATTTTAGTGGACATATTGCGGAGCGGATGAATTTACGTATTTTCCTGACTGTGGGCTGTCTTCTTTCGGGCGTGACTACAGCATTATTTGGCTGCGGTTACTTTCTTAACATACACGCTCTGTATTATTATATTTTTTCGCAGGTATGCTTTGCCATTGCAGTTTAATCTTAGGCAAGTGAACAGATTTACCTTTTTCGCTTCGCAAAATTTATCACAGTTTCGGTTACCAAGGCCTGGACCATTTTTGCTTGTTTTAATATTAATTTTTTGGATTTAACATATTATGATGCCAATAAATGTGTCATACGCGACTGATTTAGTTGTAAACGCTCCACTTTGCCTAATTTGGAAGGGCGTTTCTGAGGTGTTAGTCTCCTTATTCAAATATTCTATTTAAGGGCATTTGTATTGAAATTTAGCTTCAGTTATTGTCAACCCAACTTCGACTTGACTACCCCACTGGCATCTCAAAACGAAGTAATAGGCTCGCTAAATAAACTGGCGAAAAAGTCTTAAGATTTCTTTCTTGAAACTATTTCTTTTTTTCCTTGCGCGAGTCATTTCTTGGGAATGGCCTTGTATCATTGAAGTAGATTTCAATCATATTCTGCTACTCACACCCGCGCTTTTTTGTGAACTTCCTTCCTAGGTTTTGGCTGGACTTGTGCAGTCGTCGGGCTGGCCCGCCGTTGTGACATGCATGAGCAATTGGTTCGGAACGAAGAGGTTAGTACTAAATCTTTGCATTGTAAAACTAGGCATCTCTCAATTTTTTTCTTAACTCCTCGGATGGCTAAGTTACTGCTAAAGGCCCCTGCGTGCATTGGCCCTATCACGCTACACAGATATCTAGGAAGACTAAGAAGACCGGAGTTGGCTGAATCAACCGTTTATTAGATGACCTGTAAAGTTGTTGCCCAATACATTTTGGATGAACCAGTAGAAGTACAATTGACTAAGGTGCCAGATGAATGAAAGGGATAGCGGGGTTGTGTGAACGGCCGGTTCCCAATATGACTGTCGGGAGCCCTATGAAAAGACGGTGTGTCGGGATGTGCGATGGTAGAGTTTATGGGCAGCAATCAGCACGACTCACCATAGTAGTTAGCAAAATTTTACCACCCCACTTGTGATAAGGGTTAAAATACAGTTAATGGTTGCCCACCCACCATCAGAAACTGCTCAATGGGTTGCGACATCCCTACACCTAAATTAAACTGGTAAAATATCTAAAATCTAAAATGCCACTTTATCTTTTCCCTGAATATCTTCATTTTCGGATTCTTGTAATCTAGATAATTCAATTCATTGTTATTTTGATCAATCTGGTCCCAAGCACGCGCCGGTACAGGTGGTCGATGCGGTTCCATAAGCCGATAATTTATAGTACTCGCGTTTCCCTTTGATCGCAAATTCTATAAACGTGAATTTCACACTTTTTGTGTAAACCCTAATTGCCTTTAATCGTTAAGCACATCGATTTCAAGCAATTTCTAGCGGGCATTCGTTACAACAGCAGATCTCGGGTGCTACAAATTTACACTTGGGCTTCAGTCATCTGAAGCGTTTTTAACCAAATGCGCAGAATTATTCGTCATCATTGCTAAATGTTTGATTGAAGTGGCGATCGTTTATCGAGTCTGAATGCTTTTTTGTATAAACTCAACCTTGCGAATATGCATTCAGAATGCACTACTGATGCGCTTAATCCACTTCAAACCACAAAATCTGACCACGTCCAATTGCGTTGGCATGGAAACACAGCTTCACGGGTGTATCTCGTCGTAATTGTCTGACATGCGGATTGAGAACCGCCGTGAACTTGTTCGCAACGATGTACCACTCATCTGAATGCTTAACTTTGAGTTCGTTAAATCGAATCTATCTGTCGCTGGTCGTTTGACCAACACAAGGGTAGGAAAAGGACTTCACAGATTTTGAATTAGTTTTATTTAAAAAATGTTTAAGTGCACCAAAGCTTTGCAACTATTTTATTTTAAAATTGCTTGCTAGGTTAAGTTGACTAGTTTAGATTTCAGCAGTTTGTCGTAACACACGAACCCCTCTCTTTGTAAACGGTCGTGTACTTGCACCGTTCATGCTGCTGTGCACTGTGCGTGGTTTGGTGCTGCTGTGTTGATGCACAACTTTCCGGAGAGGCCCTCAGTTTTTCAAGACCACTTGTTACCACTGTTACTTATGTGAATGGAAGTAGTCCGGTTGTACAGTGTTTCTTTTTACTTCGGTTATCCTCTAAGGCTGTTTTACTGAGATTATCACAAACAATACAATG